ATGCCACATGCGAGGTTTTCTCGAGATGGCGAGATAGTAGTTTCCGTAGTAATGTGAGGGCGGAGCCTTGAGTCTCGACTGGAGACCGACTCCGCGAGGGAAATCGCTATTAAGTATCTTGTCATTACTTCCGAAGCCGCATACGAGGTGTTACTCGTGTCGGCAATGGATGAGACCTTGTCATCGGTATAAACAGAACCATGTGTTCTGAATGTACCAGATTTGAGTATAAGTGTCGATTGTCTGTCCTATCCTGGTTTCTCGACCAAGTCAATAGCTTAGCCTGATGGTTGACTCTACCACCGGGACTTGCGAGGATGCATGACACGTTCTAGCCTCGTGTCGGAGGAAAGGTGTGCGTGATCCCGAGGTATGTGTGAATTGACGAGCTGCGTGATAGGCAGAATCCTACCTGTTTGGAGGTACCGGTGACCTGTTGAGACCGATGGTCCAGCAGGGAAAGACCGGGAGGGGTACTCGTCAAAGTCCAGTAGTGGTGATCGAGTCGAGGGCGAGTCGACTTGGAAGAGAGAAACCGAGATTCGGGAGGGAGTACCGAACACCTTGTGTAGATATTTCCCCTTGTATTTTAGTTGTTTTAGTTTTCGAATTCCGAGGACGGAATTCTTTGTAAGGTGGGTAGACTGTAACGCCCCGTTCGTTTATGAATTATTTGGGTTTTATTTTGATGTATTATTATTATTATTTGCCCATTTATTATTATTATTATTATTATTATTATTATTATTATTATTATTATTATTATTATTATTATTATTATTATTATTATTGTTGTTGTTGTTGTTGTTGTTGTTGTTGTTGTTGCTATTAAATGTCAATTTGCTATTATTTGTTGTTATTAGATTGTCTTAATGTTATTATATAATTAAACAAATTATGTGTATTATATATGTAAATATTAATGTCCTGTTTTATTTTGTTTAATTATCGTCCGATTATGCCGACACCTTAGCCGACCCGTGAACCCAATTTTTCCTTATTTTTTTTTTCCGTGCGTGTGAAAGTTGAGTGCGTGTGTCTTCTTGGAAGTCAAGAAGATAAAACCTAATCATTGCACATATATATACAACCTTGTATCTATATTTTTCCTCGTCAAAAATCATACCTCCCGCAGCCTCTCCTTTAATCCTTTTCTCATCATATCATCGCTCCCTCACCCTCTCCCTTTCTCTGCAAATCCCGACGCCCTCATCATCGCTACCCCATCGCGAGAAGCTCCCAAACGCTGCTCCACCGCCTGCAACTCCCGATTATCAGTAATCGAGCCTTCATCGCCGTAGCAGGTCCACACGTTCGAGAGTACCGCGACCAAGACCAGCGAACACCCCGACGAGTCTCGATCACCTTTGTCCTCATCGCCGCTACAACTCTAAGCACGTGAGCCACCGAGTTCAGCGCCACCATCGTAGCCACCGTGAGTCCGGCGAGTTCCTCACCCCGTCGTCCATCGCCGGTCCATCAGCGAGTTCCGGCGTCCCTCGTGAATGCACTGTTCCCATCAAGTGCTGCCTCCCTCGCTCAAGTCCAGCGAGTTTCAGCCCCGTGACGCCGCCGCGAACCACTGACCGCCATCCGTCGGCGAGTTCTGCTTCTAGGCTGCGAGACCACCGCTGGTTACTATCTCCAGCGAGAACAACAACAGCTCCGTTCACCGCTGCGTGCAATTCCTTTTTCCCACGAGCCGTTGTTGTTGAGTCCGACGAGCGTACTACCGGTCCCCGAACGACCCGTCTCGGCTATCATTTCGTTCGTTGTCGCATACTGATCCCGAGAATGGTACCGAAGCTTGATTCCCCTCTCGTTTATATATGTGTTTCGAACTTTGAAGTTATTTCGTTATTTAGGATTATATATTATGAGTTTATGTAGGGATTTTATAGATTAATGTGAAATCATGTGAAATCCCATCGAAATCGTGTTAGGACTGTGGATTTTGGAACCTTGTCGTGTCCTTGGCCTTATGGAAAAGGCCTTGGACGAATTCGGTGTGTTTCGAGTCTTATATGATTTTTCGAAACTGAACTAGCTGCTGAAATGTATTAAATTCATCATAAATTGTATGCTGTTCCGGTTGCCATGAAATTTCATATGTGATATCCTGTGTTAATATTACATGTTGTGTGAAAATTTCAGAATTTAATTCCATCTTTAGCTATTTTAATTAATTAAAGTGATTTCTGAGCAGAATCGTGTTAATTGGATGATAAATTGAGTTGTGCTCCAAACTTTATGAAATTATAGTATGTTGTCTTTCTAAATGATTATGATTTTGTGCAAAATTTTTATAATTTTTAGACTGAGATTGATAGGGTAAATAATTTATTTAAGATTTTTGCAGAAAGACGTTTTTGAATATAATAAATCGGTCCTTTGCTAAATAATTCTGATATTTGGCTTAGATGCTTGCTTTATGTGGTGTGTCATGTTGTAAAAAGATTAGAATTTTTAGAGCTCAAATTGATTCGATTTTAATTAAAATTTGATAAATGGCTGAATCTTTATGAATTTTCATAATTTGTGTATTTTATGTTAATTGCTGGAATTTTTATATGTTGGTCCTTAATTGCTGAACTGTCTCCAGTATAAATATCATGTGCTAATTCGTTCGTTAGTTCGGGCTTTGAATTTTATGCTCGTTTTTGTTGATAACTTATTTGAATTTTTTTAAATGCATGTACTTTGAATTTGAGGCTGAAACTTGGTGGTTTTTCTAAGTAATGGGAGGTGTATTTTTGGTTAAAATTTCAGAGTCCAACTCATAGGGCAGCTAGATCAACTTAATTTATGTTTTGGCTAATAAATTAGAAAGAGGATTTTTGAGTTAAAAGCTGTAAATTGGCTCGCTTTCCGTTTCTTGTTTGTTTGACTTGATCAATCGTTAGTTTGACTTATGTGAACTCCCATGTATGTTTTGGTTGAGTGTAGTGTCGAGTCTAAGTGGTGTTCCAACGTCCACAGGACTTCACGAACAACTTGGTTGAATCAAGTTCGACCAATGTATGCTTGTGTTTGTTCTCTAAGGTCAAGTAGGTGTTGATCTTAGTGTATAATTGTTGTAGGTGTTTGACGAGTCGTGCTCGCTGCCTACTCCCATTACTGTGCCATTTTCTCCGTTGCTTTACCAGGTGGGTTTACTTATTCAAAACTTGCTATGCCATATATGTGTTTTCTTGTTGAGATGGTATGATTTTAGTATGTATGTAAATCATGTAGCCTATCGGCGTGAGCCGGTGTCGGCCGTCGGTACGGTTGTCCCCGTCGAGTTACGGTACGGTTGCCCGTGCGAGGCAAGTCTCCGTAAGACCTAATGAAAGGCCGTGTCCGTTACAGTGGCACGTACCCCCCATGAGTTAGGGTAATGAATCCCCTATCCTTGGCTAATGAGAGATGTGTACACGTGGGTAATATGTTATGATGTGATGTGATTTGGAGACGTGACAAATGATTGCTTTATGTTCATACTCTAACCATACCAACTCTTATTATTATATATGTGCATAGTGGTGAGCACGCTTTTCATCTTATGCTCATCCCCACATGCTCTTCACCGATGCAGGTTAAGCAGGAGCTGGGTGACGAGAAGAGGCGAGTGGGTCGGTCATTTATTTATGCTTGTTATTGCTTCCGTTTGAATAATAAGGTTTCATGAGCCTTTATGATGAGATTGACTAAACTATTTTCCAGAACTTATGACTTGTGTGTTTTTGGAAAAATTTTATGGAACCCCAATGTTGGGTATTATGGTTTGATTATATATTCGTGTTGAGAATTGTGCCTCGTGATGTGTGTGGTTAATGAAAATCATTTGCGAGAACCGGGTAATGAATCCCCGTAGGCCCAGATAAGACTTGGGTTATGAAAATGTTGTTTAACACCCATTGAATCCTCGAAAATGATCTCAAAAATTTTACACTGATTTTTGGAAAGTCCGAAATTTCTTTAAAATCAAAGTGGGGTGTTACACATACACACATAATCGATAATCAATTAACAATTTTCAATCTTCAAACACAACCACATTAAAAAAGATTACAAAAATCATCAATCTCCAAACAACTCCAAATAATGTCTCGTGCGAATGAATTAACCGGAAATGAGGCTCGTATCGGTGTTGTCGATTCACACCGAAGTAAAGATTGGATTGAATTTTTTTTCCCTGATTTTTTTTCGCTTCTTCTTGCTCCTCTTTTTCTACTCTCTTTATGTGATTCGCGTAAATGAAATGGAGGAGATTTTTTTTTTTTATATTGAATACTAAAAACGTATTCTGAGAATACGTTCACCGACAGTTTTAATTGTAAAACGTATTCTCAGAATACATTTTAATTTAAATATATATTTTTTTATTAAAAGTGTCGGTGGACGTATTCCTGAAATACGTTTTACAAAAAACGTATTTCGAGAATACGTTTTAGTGTATTTTATTTTATTGTTTTTTTGTATTCGAATATTCATCGAATTTTGAATTTTTTTTTATCTAATAAATAATATAAAGCCATATTCTGGAAATACGTTTTTCTAATTAATTTTTTTTTTAGAAAAACGTATTCCGAGAATCAATAATGATATAAAACCAACCGGTTGGTTCCATAGCAATGGCTTATGGAGCCACCCACCAATGGGAGAGCTTCCATGTGGTGGGACCGCCCCACATGGAAGCTCTCCCATTGGTGGGTGGCTCCATAAGCCATTGCTATGGAACCAACCGGTTGGTTTTATAGCATTATTGTTCCGAGAATACGCCTGTTTGATTTTGGTCCACAATTTTTTATTTTTTTTTATTTTTGTCTATTTAATTTTTTATTTTTTTATTTAAATAATCACCCTAAGAATCCGACATTTAGGTAAAAATATATGCGTCTAAGAATCCTCATGACATTGGTAGTATAGGGCGGCGGGCGTCTACAAAATACACAAATTCTTACTACTTAGTAGATTTATCCCCTTCCCCTCCTCCAGTGGTGGTCTAATACTCTGCCATGGCTTTCTCCATCCGCGCCGCCGCCTTGTTCTCTTCAGCCACCACAACTTCATCCCGCCGCCTGTCGTCTTACAGAAATTTTGCCGGTTATTATAATCCCAAATTGGCTTGCTCGAAGAAACCATCAATCAAATTCCCCCCTCCTATGTTGGGCCGTAATAATACTAGTTGTGCTGTGATGATGATGAGCACAAGCACCAGCCGAGTCGACGACGAACCCCAACCCCAGCCACCAACAACCTCGCCCTGGCTGCCCAAACCCTCGCCTTGGCTCATGCTACCGCCAATCACAGTTGATGAACACAGTAGTGAACATATGGTTTATCAATTTTACAGCCTTGGCGAGGACAAAGTATTAAGTGTCCCCAAAAGACCCACACCATTATCATCATCAAAAGAAGAAGACGACGATGACGACGATGGTCCGAACAATGATGCCAAGATTGTGGGATCCTCACACGGCTGGCTTGCCCTGTTCCACGAGCATAACTGCGACTTATTTCTCTACAATCCCCTCACTGGCCGCCACTTTAAGCTCCCACCCATCCGCACCCTTCCCCACATCCCCGACCCTAATTTGAAAAAGGGTCGCGGCTGCCTGACCAGCGTCGTGGTCTCTAGCTCATCCTGCAACAACGAATGGCGAGCCGTCATCACGTACGGTCCGGAGCAGAGACTGGCCGTATGCTGCCCCGCCCAAACCCCAACTGAGTGGACCCCACTCGGCGACAATTATCAGCACGAGTCCCTCGCCTATTCCACCCGGCGGAACCTCTTCTTCTCTGCCCCAAGACACAAGGACCATCTCGAGGCATGGAATATCTCTTCTTCTTCAACCACAATGACTCAGCTACCGGTGTCCGCTGACCCAGACAACTACCCGCTGGCCGCCCGCTCACGGTTGGAGTTGGATCTCAAAGTCCTGTGCGAAGACTACAGGTTCCTTGTCGTGTCCGAGCAGTCGGACGAGCTTTTCCACGTCCGGCGCTTTGTGTTGCCGTGCATGGGCCCCGACGGCACTCTAGTGGATGAGGTATGGTACAACGGTTTCCGGGAAGACATGACACCCTACAAGACAGTTGGGTTTGACGTCCACAAGTACGACCCGCATACCGGCTCGTTGAAGTACATGGATCGCACCCTGGATGGCTTGGCCTTCTTCATTGGCCCCAACGACGGGTTTGCTCTCCAGGCGGCTGATTATCCCGGGCTGAAGCCCGACTCCATCTACTACACCGATACCAGGTGCCTGCCGGAGTGGGATGATAAACCATATGGAGGCCATGATGTCGGTATCTTCAGCTATCGAGATGAGACTTTCTGGCCGTGCTATTATTCATGTGATATGAGCAACGCAATGAAGATTGTGCCCGCGCCAAAGTGGTTCACTCCCACATTGCAACCCAACCTTGTTCAGCCTAATTTAGATTTTCATTTAAGTTGATTATGCTTGGAGTAGTAGATAGGTTTTTAAGGACATCATGTTTCTCTAGCTTTTATTATTCTCTTCTCTAGCTTTGAGTTTTCATTACTAGTCTAGCTAAATTTAATGTTAGTGATGCTGTACATTTAAGTAAAAGCAGTCTATACCGCAGCAGCAATCATGCTTTTATTTCGTTTCAGTGTCAATTATCATGGACAATCACTGCTGGTAATAACTGAGCATCCGAAAACTAAACTAACCTGGGCTTCGTTTCACCTTTGGAAGTCGGCAACCGCATGGCCGTGGAAGCCAACGAAAGGATCCCCCGACAACCTAAGCCTGAATCCTTCACAAACTTGAAATCCCCATAATATCTATGAACATTCAAAATAAATATAAGTCACCAGAACACAACACTGCATCAAAACTACATATCAACTGAAGTTACATTTATCATCACCCAAATAGCTTAATGATAATATGTACATATCAACTGAAGTTGCATTTATCATCTAAATAGCTTAATGATAATATATGATGATGACAGCTGATTAAGAAGAGGATAAGCAATCTAAATTAATATTAAAAATATATCTTATATTAGAGTTGATAATAACGACTGTAACTCATTTTCCCACTTTTAATTAAAAGACTAATTCATTCTCAACGTTGAAAATTGACAATAGTACAATTATTTATCACATATCAAATAATCATATATATGACATTAAATTGAAATAATTAATTTTTACTGAAATGATAGAATGTTCTAAATTATAGTTTCATTTATCAAAATTTGAAAATTATAAACTCTTCATTACATGTAATTTATTTTATAACTATACATATAGATATGAGTAAATATTTAAATACATGGTGATGAAAATAAACATTGATGAAGGTAATTTCTTACAATATAACAATACTAAAATATCCAAAAGAAATACTAAAAATGCAGCAAATATCCAAAAGTTACGTTTCTTTTTCTTAAGTGTAATTGCAGTTTTTGGATTAAATGAATAAAAAGAATAACAAGTAAATATATAAGTTAGAATTTGTTGTTTTTGACTCTATTTTGGTTGGTTATAGGACCACTACCTTATAATAAATTAATATGATTACAGGATAAGGGAAAATATTTGACAGCTTTGTCGAAGCCATCGATGACACAAATAGAAATTATGATGAAGATTTCTTGAATTCATTAACTCCGAATGGCTTGCCTCCTCATAAACTGGTTTTATGTCCAGTTATTCTTTTGTTGGCTTTTTATTACACGAATTTTTCATATTTGTACATGCAAAATTTTATTTATGAAGTTGAAAAAAATATTTTAAAACATTTATGTAGGTGAAACATTATTTATGTACATAAAAAGCAATGAAATAGATAAAACATGTAAAATCTCATTTATGTAGTTGTGATAATACATTCATTAAAAAAAGGATAGAAATCATAAATTAGTTTTATACATTAATACTTAGAAAAATTAATTAAAAAGATAACATGCAAACATTTTAATACATTAATATTTAAAAAATTAAATTATAACATACAAACATTTTGTAGATAACAAAAAAACAATAAGAACCATAAGTTAATTGAATGATATATTTATAATAAAATAATACAGTAAGAATAAAAAAGATTAATACATTATGAAGTTGTAAAAAAAAAAAAGCTAAATAGATAAATGTTTGGTTTCAATAGAAGGTCATATCAATGGATTGTTTTTATTTTTTTTTTTATATTGACTTTGCATTACAAGAATTTTAAATATTTGTACATGAAAAATCTTAGTTATGTAGTTGTGCCAATACATTCATTTAAAAACTTGGATACTGGTCAATTTTTGTTTAATAGATTAATATTATAAAAAAATATATTTAATTATAAAATACACAAGAAATATTATAAGAAAAAATTGAGTACTATGTCATGACATTCATGATTAAAACATCACAATAATGATTTTAAACATTTTATTTAACATTATGTGAAACAATTTTATATTAAGCCATGTGTTTTAATATTTCAGTTATTCTAATTAAAATTTAAATTATTATTTGACAATTTTAATTGTTTATATTTTCTATTAATATATAAAAAGGATTAAAATAATTCAATTTTAGTAAACTTTTCTTGCCACTTTCATTAATTACATGCTAAATATAGGAATTCATAAATAATTCAGAAATATAGGAATCCATAAATAATTCGAGTAAATCAATTGTTGAGCATTAATTGTGAAGATTAGGATGCAAACCCCATTAATTAGGAGAATAATTTGATTGAAAACGAAATCCCATTTTTTATGGAATGCAAACAATTGTTGAACATTAATTGTGAAGATTGGGGATGCAAATTCCATTAATTAGGAGAATAAATTATTTGGGAACGAAATCCCATTTTTTGTGGAAGATGTCAAATATTTCTGTTTTTTTTTTTTTGGAATATAATGGAATAATTTTAAATTGGTAGTTAATAAAGAATAAAAATCAATATAAAGCTATATCCTGCAATTTTGATGGAGTTTGCAATAAAAAAAAAAGTTATATCAATTCATCAAGTAATTAAATATTAAATATTATAAGAATACATTTGGGAAATTAATCCAAGTATGACTCCTGTAAATATTCATAGTATTCATGCAAGAAAAAATCTATTTTCTATACTGATGATACAAGAATACTGTTTGTTGGGGTTCTTATCTTGGTTGGCCATCTGACATAGTCCTTATCTCGAGCATACATCAAGATTTCATTCTTTGTAGCACGCAAAGGAGTATACCTTTCAAACCTCGGGAGATTGGACCGATCCTTTGATGAGTTGGTCGTGACAGACAACCTATCCCATACTTTTTTCCTCTTTCCGCCATTATCATCTCCAGAGTCCCTCATCCTCTTTCTATCAGAGGTCTCACGCTCATCCTCCACTCTAGACATCTCCTCAGCGTTGATGTATTTTTCAGCTCTACTGAAGAGTTCAGGGAGAGATAACGGTGGTTTTTTTGCCAAAGAGAAAGCAAACCTTGAAGACTTTCGAACTCCATTCATGAGTGCGGCTAAGGCCACAGACTGGTCCAAGTCCTCAATCTCTAGTGCCTCTCTATTAAAACATTGAATAAACTCCCTTAGCGTCTCATCCGACCTCTGACGAACTCCCATAAGGTGGGCTGACGCTTTCTTGTACCTTTTGCTGCTAACAAAGTGGTTGAGGAATTCTTGTGCCAATTGTTTGAAAGTATAGATAGAGGCTGCTGGCAGCGAAGAGAACCAAGCCCTGGCTCTCTTTCTTAGTGTGGCCGAGAACGCTCGACATTTGATGGCGTCGGTCTTCCCATGAAGCATCATGAGAGCTTGGAAATTCTCAAGGTGGTCACGGGGGTCCGAAGTTCCATCATAATTCTCCATCTGAGGCATTTTGAAGCTAGAGGGAATTTCCTCTTTCATGATGCTATCAACAAAAGGGGACTCGGTGGGTGAAAAAGTATCTGATGTCGGCTTTCTGACTTCTTTCCACACCACTCCGAGCCTTTCATTCATCTCCTCAAGCTTTTGCTTAAGGTCGCCATCCTCATGTGTGAAATTTCCTCTCCCGAGGTCTCTTTTGGATCTGACCTCGATTTCGTCGTTGGGGGCTTTAGAACCTTCGCCATGGCTGGCTTCTTGATCCTTTCGACCTAAGGATGCTTCTTTTTCCATCATACCCTTCATCAGGGTCTTCAGTTCAAGGTGTTCTTTTTCGACCCTCTGTAGTCGTTCGGCCTCGGTCTCCGAGGTCTCCGGATTTTGTGAACTTTGGCTTGGGCTAGGGTTTGCCTGAGAGTTTGATTCACTTTCTTGGGATTGATCATGTCGTGAAGCGCCTCGCGTCCTTCGACTGGTTTCACCTTTCTTTCGTATCGCCATGAATCCTCTTCCTAAGTCGTCGGTCCCACAGGCGGCGCCAATTGATGATACAAGAATTACCTGATATTAGTCAGAGGACACGTAGCAACGATTGATGCTCTGACGTCTTCCTGAACTAGTCTCCTTTGCTCTGACGCATGCAAAACAGAACCCCAGGGTTGTCCCCAGGGGTAGACCCTCCAATGCGTAAGTTAGAATCAGTTTTAGGTTTTCTGAGGTGGTGGTTGCGGAAGTAAAAGAGAAGGATTAGAGTAGCTAGATTATTCCTTACCTTGACCTAGGTCGTCCTTTTATAGGAGTCAAACGACCTAGGTCTCCCTACATGTGCGGAGGACTCCCTGGCCCATAAGCTTCGTGGGCTGACCCCAGACTTTGGGCCCAAAGTAAAGCTCCTCTAGACCTTGGGCCTATAGTAATTCTCCTCAGGACATGGGACCAGAGTAAAGCTCTTTGGGACCTTGGGCCTGAATTAAGGTTGGGCTTCGGCCTTAATCCTGGACTCTAACGGTTCTCGGATCAAACGTGTCTTTATTCTCTCGAGCCACGTGTCATATAATAAATGTATATTTTTCCCTTATCACTTGCCCCCCATTTTATGTACACATTAATTTTTATGCGTACAGGTTATTTGTGTCTCCCTACGAGCCTCACGGAAAGTACTACTTCAACGAAAATTACCCTTTTCTCTTGCGGCTCACTTGTTCGAGGTTGCCTTGCATATGCTTTGCGAGCAGAATTGCTTTCTCCGCCGGATGGTCCTCCGACGATGACAGTTATGACCCCCAACAACTTGAGTGTTGTCCCTCCTCGAACTTCGGGCTCTAGGATTACCCCTCATAGGACTACGACTTCGATCTTTTGAGCGTCTTCGCTGAGGTTGAGGGCTGCTTCTGTCTTTTTCCACAAATTTCTTAAGGTATCCTCTGCGTATCAAGTCCTCAATATCGTTTTTCAGTGTCTCACAGTCCTCGGTATCGTGACAGTGGTCTTTGTGAAAACGACAATACTTATCCCGACTTATTTTGTTTGTTGGGGTTCTCATCTTGGTTGGACATAGTCCTTATCTCGAACATACATCAAGATTTCATTCTTTGTAGCACGTAAAGAAGT